AATATATACTTAAGACTAATTTAGATTATTCTTAGAGTATCTTTTAAATTTAGATCCGGAATCTTATATTATTTTTTATACTTATAGTTATATAAAAGCTATCTATTAATATAAGGAATATTAGAAGTAGCTTAAATAAAGCTATTTTAAATAAAAGATTCCTTAAAACTTCTTATATTAGCTTATTATATAATATTTTATTATTTTATATATTATTATCCTTAAGACTTAATTAAATACTTTATAGTTCTCTTATAAAGCTTTCTAATTATATTAAAGCTAATTTACTTTTCTAAAGTAGCTTATTTTAAAATATAGAAAAAATTATACTAAATTACTAACTTAAGTATTAATTAGCTCTTTTTTTTATCTTATAGTTATTATAAGTAGCTTATACTAGCTTATTAAATAAGTACTCTTTATTCTAGAGGTACTAGTAGTAGTATAATAAAGCTTTATCCTAAAGTATAAATAGAAATACTTTATATTATAGTATAAACTCTATTAATACTTATTAATAAAGATTAATAATAATATAAAGCTTCTTATTAAGATAATCTTTAGCTTTATTATATTAAAGCTCCTTAGTATATATTTTACTAAGGTTTACTAGTGATTTTACTTATTCTAGAGAGATTAGTTTTATAATATACTAACTTAGATAAATAAGCTCTAAATATAGTTTCTTTTAACTAAATACTTAAAAAAAAGTAATATCTTATCCCTTAGATATATTATAAGAGCTAAAGTAAGATCTAATAAACTATTATCTCTTAGTCTTTATATTAAAAGCTAATTAATATATTATTTCTTTAGTTTTATTAGAAATAATTCTTCTCTCTTAATATTAATAAGAAGAGAAGCTTTATAAATATCTTCACTTTTTATAAAAAGTTTAATATATAAAAGTCCTTAGAAGTCCAGATACTAAAATAAAACTTATTTATTCCCTTAGGGGATTACTTATTTATATTCTCTCTTAGTTATTCTAATACTTTATTTCTATATTATTAGAGATTATAATCTCTATAGATAAAGATAATATATTATTAGAGATTATAATCTCTATAGATAAAGATAATATATTAAGTAAGTTCTAATAAAGTATTTATTATATTTAGTTCCTTTTTTAATTATAAGTTTAAATCTTATTTAAAAAGGAGCTAAATAATAAGTCTAGTAGTAGTTTAGTTTCCTATTTATTTAGCTAAGTATTCTTTTATATTTAAATTACTATTATAAAAGCTTAAGAAATCTATAATCTTTTTTAATACTAAATATAGACTTAATTCTTTAAGAGATAATCTTAAAGCTTTTATTATTACTTACTTATTATTTTTTTAAAATTATCTATTATTTAATCTAAAAAGTATTTCTAAAAGTCTTAGAATAATATCTCTTCTCTAATATTTTTCTTTATAAAATAATCTATAAATCCTTAAACTAAACTATTAATATTAGCTCTTATAAGACTAGCTAAAAATACTCTAAGAACTAGTATTCTATCTTATATTAAAGTTCTACTACTTCTAACTTTTACTTTAAGTTATTTTATAACTTAATCTATTAGAGTTATTATTATATTAGAAGCGATTTATAAGTATTTTAGATATATCTTTTATATCTTAGAAATATCTAATTAAATAGCTCTAGAAATATCTTAATAACTATTAGAAAATAATTATTATTCTTTAGTAATATAGAACTTACTTTACTTAATTTTAATAAGAGTTCTCTAGTTATTTTATAAGACTTACTCTACTTAATTTTAATAAGAGCTTACTAATATTAATTTAGTATTATATCTTAAGAGTTAACTCTATTATATTTAACTTATCTATTCTATAGTATAAAGTAACTATTAATTAGTATTAGTATTATACTAGTAAATAAATAATAAGTATATATTAATATATATTAAAATCTAAAGTTTAGTTTAAAGGTATTTAAAAATATATATTATAAAAAGTATCTAAGAGTTAGAATATATACTACCTCCTAAATAACCCCCGGTTTATATATAAAAAGGGTCTACCCTCTAACTAAGATTACTTATACCTCTTAATTCCTCCTATACTTCTATAGTAAAAGTCTACGAACTAACACTTAACTATCTTATATTATAAGGAAGTATAAGTATAAAAGTAAAATATAAAAGGTAATATCTTAGTTATAAATATAATTTAACTATACTTAAAGGTACTTAAGAAAATAATAAAGTACTAAAGGTAAAGTAGAAAAAAGAGAGCTAGAGATATAACTTAATTATACTTAAAAAGTACTTAAGGAATTTAATTAAAGTAGATATTAAAACCTTTATAAGTAAGAGTAATCTTTTCTAATATAATAATATAATAAATATTTATTAATAACTATAATATAAAGTAGAAAAGATAATAAGAGGAAAAGGTTCTTAAAGAGCTTTAAAAATAAGTAAAAGAGATATAGCTACTAGTGAATTAAGCTAGTCTTAGGTTTATTATATAACTCTAGCCTTATAGCCTTATAATATCTGCCTTACTTATATAACTCGCCTATTATACTTAGCTTCTTTTATTAACTTAAGTGATAATTAGTATTTACTCTTAATTAAGGTTTAAATAGTACTATTTATTTAATTTAAAATACGTTTAAGTAATTAAAGAAGTACTTAGATATTAAAGCTTTTATTAGTAATAACTTTTTTACTTATAATCTTAAAGTACTACTTAGCTATTATCTTCTTAATTTATTTATAAAGCTTTTAATATTAAGTTATTTAAAGTTATTAAATCTTAATATTTATCTTTTAAAGCTTCTACTTAGCTTTTACTACTACTTTATAATCTAAAGCTTATATTAATATAACTTATATTAAAGCTTTTAAAATAGCTTAAAGGAAGCTAGAGCTTTTACTTAAAGAACTTAATAGAGTTCTTAAACCTTATACTACTACTTAGCTTATAAGCTCTATTTTATACTTAGTATAAGAGATTTTATATAATTCTATTTTATAAGTTATTATATTAGTTATAATTTTCTTTATAGTTTAAGTAAGCTTATTAGTAATTTAAATAAGAGAAAGAATATTTAAAGCTTTTAGATTAATATAAAGCTAAAGTCTTAGAATATTTATACTTAATATTAAGTACTTTATTTAAGTACTTTATTTAAGTAAGGAAATCTTATAGTTTTAAGTATATAATATTAATATTAAGTAATTATTTAGATTTTAAATTTATTAAAAAAGTAGATATAATTATAAAAGAATTATAAGGATTTAAAAATTAAAGAGTAATTAAGAGGTTCTGATTAAAAGCTTATTTAAAGTAATAGAATTATATATATACTAAGTACTTAAGAGATAGATATAACTCTTAACTATTATATAGTAATAAAGTAGGCTTTTATATAGTAAAGAGCTTACTTAATTAAGTAGAAATTAAAATATTAAAAGATATATTTAAAAGAATATTATCTTCTAAAATCAGGGGTTAAGAGTATACTATATATATATAGTATACTTACTAAGTATATATTAAACCTAGGACAGGCTTATATAGCGCTAGTGTTCGACACTTATAAAAAGGTAATAAAATTAAAAGTATAAAAGTAAAAGATAATAAAAAATTACTTTAGTTATAAATACAACTTAACTATACTTAAAAGTACTTAAGGAAATAATAAGGTATAAAAGGTAAAATAGAAAAAAAGAAGCTAAAAATACAACTTAAGTATACTTATAAGATATTTAAAGAATTTAGCTAAAGTAAATATTAGGACTTTTATAAGTAAAGTTAGTCTTTTTAATATAATAGTATAATAAATATTTATTAGTAATTATAATATAAAGTAAAAAAGATAATAAGAGAAAGAGGTTTTTAAAAAGCCTTATAAATAAGTAAGAGAAATATAGCTACTAATAAACTAAGCTAGTCTTAGGTTCGTTATATAACTTTAGCCTTATAGTCTTACGATATTAGCTTTACTTAAGTAACTAGCCTATTATGATTAGTTTATTATATTTATAATAATTAAATACTTAGTTCTTTTTATTTATATAAAAGAAACTTTTAGTTTTAGCTTTATAAGTATTTAAATTAATTAATCCAAAAAGCTTATTTTATAAAGTTAATATATAAGCTAAAATAAAAGGTAATTAAAAGGTAATAAACAAGTTTATATGTTTTAACTTAAAATAATATATTTAAGTGTCGCTATATATATTATCTAGTACTATTTATTATAGATTGATTTTAAAACTATTTTTATAAAAATTATCCTAGAATTATCTAAGAATAGTTTAATTACTCTTATATTTTCCTCTAAGGTAATACATCAACTCATTTTTAGTAAGTTCACTAAGTAAAAAGTAGGTAATTTATAATACTAGAATATAGTATTTCTAAGATATATATATACACGTGTTATAGCTATTCTTATAACTAGTTAGAAACTATAGCTACGCGCCTATTCTTATTAAAAATCATTTTCTCTCTCTTCTCTAAAAACCTACGGACTTATATTTTTATAAAACGCGATTATAAAAAAAAATACTATAACTTTATAAAAATAAACTAAAACACTAATAAACTAACTTATAAGTTTCCTAGGTTTAATTAAATATCTAGTTATAGAGTTATTAATTAATTAAACTATATAAGGTTTAAGGCTTAAAAGTCTAGAGGTAACTTAAGGTTAGCCTAAGGTAGCCTAAGTATAAAGTAAACTAAGAAAACTAAAACTCTAAGTTTTAAGGAAATCAAATTAAGTCTATTAATATAATACTATATTAAAAAATAAAACATAAGAGTGATTTAATATATATTAATCTTTAATTCTTTTAAAAATCTAAGTATTATATTAAAAGGTAGTTATAATACAAGTACGTAGGACTCAGAGAGGGAGGAGGGCGGGGGAGAGGGGGGAGGGGGGATTTAGATGAGGGTGGAAAATCGGTCCCATGGTTTTTAACTAGTTATGGGAACAGCTGTACTCTTTCATCTTCTCTAACGCTGTTCCTACAATGGTACTACATCACCATTCTCGTCCAACACCCCTACCGGTCCCCCTGCAACACACTCATCGACCTCTCTACCTTGGTTCAAAACGCTTGACTCGTTTGGAGGAATAAACTGTGCGCATTGACCAAATCGAGAGCATTCGCCGACGTCTCTGCCGACTGTACACTCCACGCCCTTATTGCCGAAGACCTCGTTGCCTTCGCCGGTTATAAAGGAGTTGCGCTGGGGGCCGGGGCTGGGAGCTAGAAGAAGAATTAGCCAGCTTTCGGCTGAGTGAACTTGGAAATTGATATTAAAAGATAAGATGACGAATCTTGACAGTATTGAAGCTGTGATAGGAAATCGAGAGCCGGGGATGATGGGAACATAAACTGCTTCTACAAGGCAAGAACAAAAACATACTATTGAGGCCAAAGATGAGAAGAAGTGGCTGTACTTCTGTACAGCCACGAGGATAGAATACTAAACCGTGGAAGTAACGTACCGGCAGTCGCAATTCGGACAGCAATTGCAAAGAACCAAATACCAGAAGTGGCCAACATTTCAATTGGATCTATAGCTCGTAGGAGTACGTAGAATTCGTAGAATGAATAGAGACGTGGAAAACAAATGTTAAGACGAAAGTAAAGCCTGTATTCAAACAAAATCTGCACCGATTAACCAGAAGAGACCCGAGGGTATTCTGCTTGTATATATAGCAATAAATGGCCGAAAGCTTGCCGGTGTTCCTGGGTGAGGTACACCTACTGCAAGTTTCATCAACGAGTCATACGACATGATCAATAAGCCTTGGAAACATGCTGCGTTTATACAACAGACTAACAACAGACCCCTGTTCACTCCAAAAGCTTCTGAAGAGTAACTAAAACTACATCTTCCTGTATGGACAGGATCCGCAGTCAGTCCAACGGATGAAGAAAGCGGTGGAGAGATTAGTACGCTGTTTGCTGTTAAGGAAATGGGCAAAGGTTGCATGAATTACCTATATTTTCAATACAAACCCGAAGCAAGTGCTACGCATAAAGTTCTAGGCACGTCTCTGTCTCAAATAAGTCGCGTATATCCAAGATGTATAACAGGCACGCATATCAGGCATACGAGATGATGGCCAAGACATGGTCTCGAAATATCCTGGCGAACCGATGTTTAATCCAGCAGACCATGAATAAAAATGCCCTTGCTAGCACCAAATATATCAACAGTCAACTTGATATCGGGCTTGCAGGTACAGGCTTGTTAAGGTGAGTTGTTGTGATTTATATGCCGAGTGAACGGTTGTAGTAATTATAAACGGGGAAGGAGGAGAAAGTGGTGATTGGACAACACAACCGGAGGGCTGAATAACGAGAGGGACGTTAGCCGATGGTGTACTTAATTAAGAGAGCTCACATTCTGTCAGCAGCTGTCAAAATGCACCCGAGCCGCCCGCCCCTGCAGTAGTTTCATATTATACTTTGTGTTTGATTTCGGACGACATCTGGGGTTGGTTTGGTTTCAGTGAGCTTCAGACATAAAACAACATAGTCTTGTGTTTCCGTGCTGACGCAAAAAGCCAGGGGTTATAGGAGCTGAAACAGATCTGAGTGCCTTTTATATATGCCTGAGATATTATGTCGTCAACAAATAAGTGAGGCTGAAACCTGGCATGTCATGGATACCATGTCCACCCTTCGGAAGCCGACGACAATACTCATTAGCAGTATACAATGCCCAAAAAAGGGACTGAGAGCTAGAAAGATTTGAGTTTGCCCAATAACAAGGATTTGATGATATCCATTCCTTAGTTAACATTCAGTGCATGGCTTTATATGCACGAGCGGCTCTTCTTCGGTCATTCGGTATGGAAGGCAAGACGGAGGAGTTTGTGGCAGTTGGGCTATCCAGAATCACTACTGACCAGCGATAGGAGGAGGAGGGAGAAGAACCGGTCATGAATCTGGCAGACTGCCTCAGACCTCTGCTTGAAGCTTGAACTAATTGAAGGAGCCCCATTTGTGGGGTGTAGTCATCATCTGACAATGACCTACAGGACCTGCGTTTCCCTCAGCCACCCCTATGATAGTGATAGTAGTTTATGTTCTTGTCTACAAGCCCTACATATCTGAGACTCTGTGCAGGTCAAAATAACATCATAGAGACCTTTCGTTAGGGGTCAGTTGAGACGATTTTGTACATGTGGCTAGAGCTCTACTAAGAGGCTAACTATATTACCACAGAAAATCGCTAAAACGATCCACAGCTGTTAAAATGTCTGCTGTTCAAACAGTAGGTCTATTAATAAATGTGGATCCTTAATACATATAAGGACAAAGTACCCTTAGGGCAAAAAGAGGTCTTTAAGTCGGCCCTAAGTTAAGAAGCGAGACTTCAAACTCTGAGGCCTTACTCTAGCTTAACTAGAGCTGGTAAAACAGATCGCCAAGTGCAGCTAAGAGGGCGGGGTACTTTGAATGCCCACAAAAGTGCGAAAGGTCTCTAAGATAGGTGGGTAAGTATCAAGTATCCGGGGTTGACAAGAGGGAGGTTGGCGCTAGTACCGTATGGTAAGCGAGGCCTTGGCAAAAGGCACACAATATTCCAGAACGGTGGAGGTTTAGATGCTCAGACGTAAATCCGAACTTGCTCCCCACAGGAGACATCAGCACATTTAGAACGTCGGAAGGGTGAGAGGAGATGAAATAATCCTACGGAGCTCCAGGAACTCAGAATGAGTAAATACGTTCGCCATGAGAAATCGCAACGCAAACATCCTGTGGTGTCTAGCGCAACCTCTCCAAACAATCCTCTAGTGGCTCCTACCGCCCCAAGGGAAAGACCTGGCTGGAAAGGCCCGGGATTTGTCAAGAAGATACGAACGCAACCAAAAGCAAACGCTGGACAGTCGAAATGTGAGAAACTATTCCCAGCTGTTCAACAGCAGCACCTTCCATTGCCACTCCAGCAGTTGCTTCTTAGCGTACTCCGAGCCTCATTTCCGGTGTGCCAAGACTACGACACACTCAAGCCTATTCTGAGAGAAATCAGACTAGCTATGTCCGATGGGGATTCCGCCAAGGCATTTTCTCGACCGGACTTGATGGTGGCCTATGCAGTGAGATGGAGTTCTGTAAGGGCATTGTGTTGTGCTACTGTATTCGTGGAGATCTTGCAAGATTTTCACGCGGAGATCTGGATTGAGAATTTATTCGAGTATGGGCACGACTCTAAACAGTCGCTGAAAGTAACCTGTTTTGGAGGCGGAGTCACGGAAATTCTGACCTTTGCAGCGGTACTACGGCATATTCGACCTCATATGACCATTCAGCAGAGTCACGCCAGTGGTCTCGCCGCTATTCAGAACAAATGCACGCCAGTTTTAGATCTCAGGCTGTTGGATAGCGCAGATTGGGCTCCAGCGGTTTCAATTCTGGAGAATGCGCTCCTGACACCTCCCGTACTTTCAAAATACGCTAGTCAGTCTGCAATTCTCAACAATACGCCTTTCATCACTTCAAATGACCTGCGAGCTTCTTTCCAGCAGACCAATGCTCTAGAGCTTAGCCATCAGGAGCTGAGAGCCATTGTGGGCCATGTACCAACTCTCATTACACTATTTTTCACGCTCAAAGACCTTCACGCAGCCTCAACTGCCAGGACAGCAGCTCTACTACTCAAGTTATCACTTGAAGCTCCTAGAGGTAGTCTACTCTTAGTCATAGACAGCGCCGAGCCGTTACAAAAAGCTGCCGATGGGCTAGATGAAGCAGACAAATACACCAAAAAATATGGTATCAGCAACTTCCTTGACCTGGTGCTCATGGAGAAGGTCCCAAATAGTACAGGTGGAAAGACCGCTTGGGAGGAGTTGATCAGAGATGACAATCGGCTTTTCAAGCTGGCGGAGGGTCTCAAATTTCCAATCGGTTTAGACCATGTCACATTCCAACTCCATCTATTCAAGAAGAGGTAATGGGATACGTACCGAGTCACAGAGAGACTAAACATTTTCAAACGACGTGTGCCCTGGGAGTTGTCGTTGAGGCTGCTAAGGCTCGTCCGGTGGGCCATTCTGGGCTAATACGGGAAGCTAAATGAATCACTTGTGCGGAACGTCTACTTTAATATTTCGGAATAATCTTTTTATTTATTCTGTCTTAATCTTTACTTTATTTAGGTGCTATATATTTATTAAAAAGCACTATTATCTAATAGATTTCTTACTATTATTACTATAGTATAATTAATTTAATATATAATTAATAATAAGGTAATATAAGTAAGTAAGTTAGGCGGCTTAAGAGCCTAAAGTAAAGTAGCTCAGCTAGTTCTTACTCTTAGAAAATTTATATTTTTAACCTCCTTTCTCTACTATAAACTTGCTTTTAATCTTAATTTTAAATATAGTAAAAAATCAATTGTATTTTAGATATTACTTTTACTACTTAGAAATATTATTATAAGATTTAAAGGTAGGGAAATAAATAAGTTTAAATATAATAATATAGGACGTTCCGCACAAGTGATTCATTTAGCTTCCCGTAGGCTAAGAAACTGTGGCTACAACAGCATGCCTGCGTACATTTTTAGGTACATGGAGTATACTTCGCACATCTACCGACGTTCAGTCTACAAAGACTGTATCGGAACTGGACCAGATGGCCATTCTCCGGGATATTCCCATGGATATATTTGGCAAATTGAGTTGCGTTTTAGACACGATTGACAAGCTCTAGCCAAATTACGATCGTATGCAATTTGATTCATGTTTCTTTGCCCCTGTCGCTACTACAGTGGCAGACAGGCTTGGCGGGTGGTGTCGTTGTGTGGAGGAAGAGTGTTGAGGCGTGATGAGCTCACTTAGCTGCGGCTGCCTATTTGCTATCCAGATCTCCTGATAGTCAAGTTCAAAGTTCAAGTTCATGATAGTGCGATGCTTGTGAGGTCTAGCAAACCTTTTAAAATCTTTGGTAGCGGGAGGGCCAGTATTTCACGGAAGCTCAGGCAAGGTTGAGAGATTCTACATTTTCCAATTCACAAGTAACTACTGTGGGCTTGTGGCCTTAGACAGCGTCCTCGTCCTGGTTCCATTCCAACTCGGCTGAAAATCAAGGCCAGATTATAGTGTTAGTTAAGAGAGGTTTCCAGATGATGAGTCGTTCATGTACGCGGGATTTGCCGCGCGCACATGACATCACATGTAAAACTGGTAAGTGATAGCATTACCCTAGCAAAGAGAGACAACAACCTTGGGCACATGAGATCAACCTGATTAATGTAGGTAGGCATGCTGGAGCGGACAGTACCAACCGTGGATGGCCACGGTATGAATGGAAAACAGGTAAAGAGGAAGATGCAACTGCTAATCGAAAGCTTGAGCCCGAAAGTCAAGAAGTGGCTGATACTGTCTTAAAGCCAGACCAGTCCGTGAGAACTGCCCGGATTTCCTGCCGATACTGTCCAACTCCGCCAGCAGAATTAACTTGCTCAAAGTCTTTACCTGGAACGCTTCCTCCCATGTAGGTACTCCTTGTCGTGGGGAGTAGTGTCGCATTGCTGAGATCGTTGATCCTCTACTTCCAGGTAGCTGTTGCCTCCTTCGTTGGGTCAACGTACTTGAGACCCTGGCGGCTGATCAAGTTTATTGCATCACGAATCCAGCGGCCTTGGACTTCCACGCTGCTCGGCCCGTTGGATACAAAGTAGGGCCACGGGGGCCATAAAGATGGAACATATTAGGATATCTGCTAATAGTTATGCCGAGGTATGTATTTGCCGAAGACTTCCATTCGTCGTTGAGGTACGTTCCGTGGACACTCTTCAGGCCCATGTTTGTCATTCCCCCGGTGGTGATAACAAAACCCGTGGCAAGGGCAATAACATCCGCTTCGTACAATTCCCCATTCTTGGTCTTGTTCCCATTCTCGGTGAACTCGTCAATTTCTGTACCATTCTTTTCTGATATATCAACAATACTCATGTTGTCTTAGTCGAGTACTTCGTAATAGTTTTGCTCCAGACAGGGACGCTCTAGGATGAATTTAGTAGGATGGCTTCCCACCCTGAATCACGGACAGATGACTTACTGATGCCAAATGGGTGTGCCGGCTCGAGAGGACAGAGTAGGTCTCGCTCTGCAGGGTTTTTGATGCGCTGTCGTTGCTTTTTCGCTCAGGAATTACAAGCCTCACGATCTGCTTTCATGTCGAAGAGGTAATCCTTGTATCCTCCAAGCCACAAGGCAAAGCCGGCACGTTTCCAAAGACTTTCGAAGAAGGCTTCCCTCTCCTCCGGCGTGTGGTCAAATGTGTTGCGTTCAAGAAAATCATAGGTGAAGCCAGCGAAGCATCGTTCCCGCAATTCAAACTGCTGCGGATAGGTGTCCATTAATCTCACCTGCTCCTCTTTTGTCATGTCGCGCTTTCCCATTGGGATAGCAAGATTCGGAGTCCTCATGAAAACCGACATTTCGTTTACTTTTGCTCCCCATTCCCGAATGATTTGGACGCCACCTGCTCCAGTCCCTGATGATGATCAGAATTGTAACTATTAAACTATGTCAATCGAAGGGCTAAGTGCACACCTATAACTGTAACACGTTTGTTTTTCACATTTACATCCTCAGGGGGCCAAAAAGACGAGTGGTGCATGATACCCTTGAGCTTCTCCATGCTCTTGTAGACAGGGATGTACCGTTTGGCGGCGAACTAGAGGACAGAAATCAGTAAGAGGTCCACAATATGTGAGACGAGGACAGTAAGTATGATTCAAGTGGAAGAGCATACTCCTGCGGCGATAATCAGAAACTTCGTCTTGGCAGTCCGTCCGTCCGCGGTCGTCACCGTCCATTTCCTAGCATATGTGTCGAACACGGCAGATGTGACAACCGTCTCGAAGGCAGTATCCTTGCTGAGGTTACAGACCTTGTACCATGATCGAAATAGGCCTGAAGTTCTCGCCACCGGATAAATGCCAGCCTCGACACTCCTGATGGTATTTAAGACATGACGTCTCATGACCTTGCAAAGAGAAGTTCGGGTAGTTTAAACCTCAATACAAAGGCCCGCGAGCTGGAAGCATAGATTGGGAATATCTACGTACGTCAAGGTAGTCAGTAGTGAAGGTCCATGTCTTGTAAACTTCTGGAGTCGACAGTTGGTAGATGGGCACTTCCGAATCAACCCTCGCTCCCGGCAGTTCCATCGCCTATTGTAAATCAAAGAAACAAGTCAACTGCTTGCTCTGTGTAGCAATTCCTTTCAACAATAACAGGGTAGTCTCACCAGGTTCCGCCAAAACCCAAGCCAGCATCGTAGAGCACAGTCTTGTAGCCCTGCTTCCGCATCTCATAGAGGAGATAAGTTCCACCAAATCCAGCTTTAACCACGAGAACGCCCACATCTAATTGATCGGCACACGGCCCAGTTGTTGCCCTCCAACGACCGTACTGAGGTGATTCCGTATTCAGAATCCGCTCAGGAAGTTCTTTTGATGCTGCCATGCTATGTTATTACAACAGCGATGGATGCGGAAGATAGAACCGACGTAAATGAGGTGCAATGGTACAACTTGGCCTGGGCAGTTCCTACTTTTCACAAATGAAGATACAAATGACAGCTCGGTTGAGCGGAAATTGACACACGGTCTAGGATATCATAAATACAGAATCTGAGGATCGCACTTCCGAGCAGCCTTCCCAAGGAACCGAACCAGCTCCGGGAGGGGTAAAGGAATCAATTTGTCCTTCACCGTAGCGGGGCTCATGGCTACCATTGGAATACATACGAACAGACATCTATGTATCCCAAGGCTGGTGAAGAGGGTTTCGTGATGCTAATGATTCGACCAGAACTCGGCCCAAGGGAAATACATTTAATGGATTGATGAGTGAGGCAATGGCAGTGACAGATAGGTGGCCAGAATCAACCCCGCCCTGCACAAAGGAAAGAGGGGTAGGATGGCTTGAAGATTCGAGTTGAGACGACTTAAAGTTCTGGAAGCTCGAAGTCATATCTCTAGCCAGATCTGATGAAGCATGGATTTGACTATGCAGTGTATCCATCATCTACACCTTGAACATTCGAGCTAGCGTTTGAGCCCCCAAAATGCCTACCAACATGACAATGGCGACTGTCATAGAAAAAGATGAAAGCAGCAATGGATGCAACTTTGTGCGACAAGAGGAAGGCAGAGCGGGTGAGAGACACAACTCCCACAAGTAACTTAAGGCTCCTTCCTACATTCCGTACATGAAAAGCGGGATCGGCCCTCAGTTCAGTGCGGGGTGCACAGCCTTGGGAGTCTTACTGTACATCCACCAGCCCGCCTCAGCTAAACTTTCGCCCACTCCCCCAACTTTACGTCGAAGATGGGTGCGGGTGAGGCGAGGACGGACGCGGTGATTCTCGGTTTACGTGTTGTACTGTAGTTTTGTTTCCCGGTTACATTGTTGCTTGTGCATGAACCTACCAGTCTCGTCAGCTGCTACCTATTCAGTCAAGCGACTTTACTATAACTTGCTCGCATGGCAGGTGTCGATGTATTCAACACCTACCCCGTCTCTAAGCACTAGTGTCCTGACACTGACATTTCAAGGTGGCACTCCTCGTTCAGCTCTATACTAACCTTGTAGTTAGGAGACTTCCCCCGCATTGAAGATCCCAGAATGCGGGCAAGACGGTCCCTTCCTACTTTGGGATTGAAGTGTTCTGTTGCTGGCCATTGAGGAAACACAAACACATAGGAACGAGGGGGTAGTGAAGAATTGGAGGGGTGAAATTAACTGACTGCCAGTAGATAGCCCCTTGGGCTTTCAGAGCACATTCTGGTACAGCTATAAATACCACGTACCCTGCCACGTTCGTTGCCATGACACCCCTCGCGTTCCCATCTGACGGCCAGTATCATCTAAATATAAAGTGACCCAAAGCCTACACGTGCTCGACTCGGCAAGTATGAAGGCCCTTGTATTCAATGGTGTTGGAAAGATCGCGCTTGAAGATCGACCGCAACCTAGAGTTCAGGACCCCAGCGATGCCATCGTTAAGCTCAGCCGAACCACAATCTGTGGTTCTGATCTCCATATTATACAAGCAAGTTCAGCAATCTTCACATGTTCTCCTTGATAGTTCAACCAGCGTGGTTACTGTCTTTCCAGAACTTTTGAGCTGTGGTTTTTGCAGGGCCAATAGCTGACCTCAGTTTCCTCGCAACAGGGACATGTTCCAACTGTAGAGCCGGGTCGAGTAATTGGCCACGAGGGAGTTGGAGTTGTTGAAAGCGTTGGCAAAGACGTGAAAAAATTCAAGGTCGGAGACCGCGTCCTCATTGCTTGCATAACGTCCTGTGCGACCTGCAGCTTCTGTAAGCAAGGCAAGTTTGGACTCTGCAACTCTTCAACGGGGGGATGGAGGCTGGGGCATACCCATGACGGCACACAGGCAGAGTAGGACAACATCTTTGATGCTCTCCTTCCGAAGATGACTCGATGGACTGACTGTAATGTTTTAGGTATGTGCGAATCTTGCATGCAGATGCTTCCCTTCATGCGGTCCCGAAAGGAGTTGACGAGCGTTCACTGTTGGTGCTGAGCGACATCATTGTGAGTAACTAGAGCACACAGAACCCGTTGTTTTCGCTCGGCTGACCCTCCCCGAGCCCACTGGACTAGAAGTTGGTGAGTGAACCGATGACTCGTGTCGAATAGAAGACTGACGAGTCAAAGGTGTGCTCCGAGGTGGAGTGAAACCGGGATGTTCAGTAGCAATCGTTGGAGCAGGACCTGTGGGCTTGGCAGCATTATTGACTGCACAACTCTACAGCCCTAGCATCGTGGTCATGATTGATAAGGACGAAGGTCGCTTGAAGGTGGCGAAGAGGATGGGAGCTACCCACACCGTAAACCCGGACTCGGCCAAGGGTGGGCTCAAAGCGGCGACCAAAGAGCACCACGGGGAGATTGATGGCTTCGATGTGGTCATTGAAGCCGTAGGAGTTCCGGCAACCTTTGTAAGACACCGACCATGGTAGTGGAGTTGGTACTAGAGTCTGTCTTGGAAAGTTGCTGACGTCGCGTGTGAAGTCTGCATGTCAAGATCTAGTTGGGAAAGGCGGTGCTATCGCGAATGTCGGTGTCCACGGCGCGAAGGTCGATTTGCGACTCGAAGAGCTATGGGGTCGAGGCATTCGTAAGTCGTACTCCAAAGGTGTCGTTTGTCCCAGCCAAGTTGACCTTTACAGAGATCACCATGGCATTGGTTAATACTAGCACCCTTCCAATGTGAGTCATTCAAGTAACAGCGACATTCCCTTCTCGGAGTGCCTGGAAACTTTTTCCTCCATTACTTTCCCCTTAAGAAAACAGTTTACTGACCTATCGATCCTCATAGGTTGATGAAGCTGTTCGAAGCCGGAAAGCTAAATACTCAGGAGATGATTACCCATGGTAAGTCGGATTTTTTCCCCAGAATTCTCTGCAGAGAACATTTGAGTGACCAATAGTTGATTCACTGTAGACTTCAAGTTTTCGGAAATGCTCAAAGCTTACGACACTTTCGGAAAAGCAAGTGAGACTGGAGCCTTGAAGGTCAACATCGAGATGTAGTTTTGGCGATGGAGAAGGTTTGGGGATGGTGTATGTTGATTATGGTTTGAGTCTTTATTACCTAACCTGAAAATTTAGTGTACACATTCATATAGTAAAATCGATTTCTGTTAATTCTATCCCGTATGAAGTCGTGGGGAGATATACACACCTGACCAGCCTGACCTGATCAGACCCAAAACGAATAGCCCGGGGAATGAGACACAGGACGACATCATCACAGAAAATTCCATTATTGTTGTCCTGTAACAATATGTTGTTTAAGAACAGATGGCCACGACTCCACGGGCGGGATGTTCCCATACTCCAATGGATAGACGCTGTGGGAATCTCTTTGCGTGGGCTACCATGAAGTTAAGCACTGGGACACTCGAGCTGTCCGAAGATTGCTCGACGACAATCCTGTGATGTTGGCACTCTCCATTAGCTATATCGGTATTGGTTCGAAAAGTGACTGAAATATACATACATGATGGTTGACTTAGAATCAGACCTAGAAGGCCACAGTAGCTTTCGGGAGGCGAGAGCATGCCGAATGAGGCTGAGCGAACAAAACACCACAACAATACATAGTGTGAAATAGATGACGACTTTCGTACACTGGCCGAAAGTAGAACAAGGGACGTACATGGGGTATTTGTGTGTTGCAGGCAAATAAAACCGAGAAAGGCTCAGAATGGGGAAAGGCACTGGGGCTCGCCAGAAAGAACCTAAACCTGAGGTCGATGTCAAAGAAAAGGAAAAAAGCACCGGTGGGCCAACATTCCTGACCACCGAGTATGTGAGAAAGCTCAAAAAAGCACCTAGAGTACCCATTATCACCAATGTAATATCTGATTAGTTGAAGCGAGAAGTTTGGTTCTAACCCGTTGTCCTGTTCGGGTCCCTGACCTGACACATCATCGTACATACAGTACTAACCAGCTCCCTATGCCCTTAAACAGCCCAAGCACCAGACCTCACCCTCAGCTCCTCTCTCAAAGCAACACGCACTGCATATCTGGTCCCTGTGCTGAGGTCTGCCACCACTGCCCCCTGAGTCGCTCAGCATCGATTCAGTATCCTGTCTATAAGCCAGTCCTATTCCGAGGCTTTCATCCCCATCGCGAAATGTATCTTCCATCACCATACTGTTCTCGTCATGATTCTGATCTCCTTTCAAGGACGCCCTCCACATGACGCCGGGTCCCTCGCATTTCCTTGTACAAACATAACAAGTCCTTTTCCCACAGCAGTCACAATCCCCGAAAGCGTCCAATTCGCTCTTCACCGTGGGCTTGCGGCGGCAGATATGACATGGACTAAGGTCAAGAATACTGCTGGATCTTGATAGCTCCCTCTGTGCCGTCTGTGCCGTCGTGCTGCGGTCGTCACATCGCTCCGCCGTTGTATCCGCTCGAGGCTCGAAGGAGAAATACACACCGCGCACGCCGCATTCCAAGTGGCCAATACGTTGTCTTTTGAAGTCGTGCAGACGGCGTTTGGGAGACAGTGTGTGTCTGAGATACAGCTCGTCTCTGGTCTCTGGGTCGTAATGCGGTGGGATGGTTTCATACGGTTGGTGAGTCGGTTGGGAGCTGGGGACTCTGATTAGCATATCTTTCCACATGGCAGACAAGTGCAGTGAGATCATCAGCATACCTCGACCTCTTCAACTGTAAGTCAAATTCACCTGAGGCGTCCTCTCTCCTCCGTTTCCTGTTGCTCATGGGTAATACAGTAGCTTGAGCTATAGATGGCATCCTTGCATATTGAGTCTCCGGGTGCGCTGTGCTTATCCAAATTCCAGGACGAGGCGAGAGGGACCGATTTTTATTGTAGAAAGTGTTAGAGTGAATTAGAAGGCGAGACAACACGAGGCAGGACGTCAACGGTCGAAGGTATCTGCTCTCTGTTGTTTATGTCTTCCAAACCCGCGCGGTTGCGAGCTCAAGAATACGTTGGCTTTCGGGACGCCTGGGCCGACAGCCCCTGAACCCTGTGGCAGCGCTCGAACCCAGCGGCTAGGGCAGTACTGTACGGCATAACTCGAGCATGCCTGATGATCGGCAGGGCACTTGCCCGTTCCATGTTTCTTTCGCTGACAAGTGACCGGACTACTTACTTAGGCTAGGCTAGACTGTTGAGACTGTGTAAGGTAGGTACGAAAACATCGCTAAGATGTCAACAAATACAGATTCACATCAAAGGAATTGCCCATCTAGCTGCCTATCTTCGCAAATCACATCCGGATCACCAGGGCAGACTCATAAATGCTAAGCTATCTGCTCGGCGGTCTCTAAGTAGCTCCATCCAGCCTTTCAAATTAACTTGGTACTTGTTCTAACCATAAACATCGTTTCGGGGGCACGAAACGCAAGAGTAAGTTCGCTATGCAAGGAGCTGCAAGGGAGACCCAGTACCCCAGCTTAAGCACGGATAACACTTCGGAAATTGCTCCATTGGCAGCTGCACCCTCCAGTTCCACCGTCAAACCCTCCCAGAGAAGGATCCGAGAAGTTCGCAAAGAAAGAAGGAGCCGGATTGAACGACACCCCGCCAAAGGCACGATTCTCACCGTTGAGCTTGCCACTCCCTGCTATCAACTTTGCGCGGCTGTCCATCTCGTAGCAGTAAATCATCTTCAAAGAAGGATCACCCCCATGGCGATCGGTCGTGATCGTGATAGGGTAGGGGAAAGACCCTGGCTGCTTGAAGTCGGTGGCTGAATTTTGTGAGGTCAGGTGCTGCGTAGAATTCAAGAGCTGTGCGGTGTTTGTGCGAGTCCAGATCTGCACCAGGAACCTGGTCTGCGACCAAGTACATCTGAAAGCTGCTTCCGATTCCTTTGCTCCCCCATCTCTATCTACAGGAACTTCTCCATCGTCAAGATTGGTGCCATTTAAACGCTCGAGTGACTTAAGGAATATTGAACGGTCGAAGTAAGTGTAAAAGCCATAATGCTCGGTTGGAAGTCCTCGGTCGTAAAGTCTGATGGGTTGCTGGGTGGGGAATGGGAGAAGGTTCGCTGGTGCAGCAGTACCGTCAGATTTGACACTTGGGGGTGGTATAATAGAGGTGATGTTTGGAAACGGCTCGTCGGAATGCTCTGAGCTCTGACGCACTGCCAATTTGGGCTTGTCGAGAGGAGAGTCTGCAGTGGAGAGAAATGATATAAAGAAGGGAGTTGGCTCGCCAGCCTTGTTAGCCGACACAATGCTGTCTGTTGAATTGCCCAGGAAAGACGATTCAGCTATGGACGGCGGAGCTGGGGATGGGATGAAGGTAACTATCTGCCGAGAACGGAGCGGGAGCCTTTTGATGAGCTGTCCAGCAGATACAGGATTCACAGCTGACATCGAGTGTCGGATAGCCAAATCCGAGCTGCCTGTGACGTTAGAAAAGGTCCTATTGGTTGAGCTGCTATTGTCCCACTGGATGTGCAAGAAGAAGTTGGGCTGGTTAGGTAGGGTTGGCGCATTTGACGATTGAAGCTCCTTTGGTAGATCGCAACTCCATTGTGTTGCTGGGAAGACACAACCTGTATTGGTACGAATATTGGCTGGCGCAACTACCGTTGACAACCCGAGAAATATTGGGGGAAAGCCGGTCAAATTCAGCCACTGAGATGGCTCCACGATCTTATTTTGTTTCCGATGCAATGTCGTGGCCAGAGTGACGACTACTATGATCATGGATACGAAGGCAATGATTAATCCCAGGTACCAACGGCGTCTTTTCCGGCCCTCCGCCCCGCTCCGTCCATAGCAGCCTCTCCCAGGCACACACCCTCGCCCTCTCCACCACCCGCCAGCTCGCCACGCAACAGCATCTTCCTTCTCGTAGCGTTTACGACGTGCCTCAGCTTCTGTGGCCTTACGCGGCGGCGCGCCATGATGCCCACAGGCTGCGAGTGAGATATTCTGCTTAGGCTGCAGTTCAGGATACCCGGAATTGAGATTGATCAGCCGGCGTGCTGGTGGAGTCTGTGGAACAGTTGACAGGGGAAATGCAGCTGCTGATGACATTGCGTGCTGTAGCCCCGGAGACAGAGGGCCAGGCGACACAGGGTACTGGGCGCCGAGTGCGTGTACTGGCGGCAATACTGCCCTGTATCTCACACGAGCAGGAGATGGTGAATATGGTGGAGGTGGTCCGGCGAACGGAGAGTTAACATGTTGAACCTGTGCGCTTTCGGCAGGGTACGCTACATCTGGACTGCTGGAGGGCTGGGAAGTTGCTGATAGTGCGCTTTGATTGTTACATTGTCGAGACTGTGCGAAAGGATTGTTGCCTTGTAATGCCCCCGAATCAGGTGTATGGCATGAATGCTGTGCTGTCATATCGATCGAGAAATGATTATTTCTGGATGTTGAGTCCAGCATTGAAGGCGACTCACTCCGGGTGAGCTGCGAAGGACTTAGAGATTCAATACTTGATATAGTGGTGGTGCCGAAGCCTACCGTTTCTGATGGAATCAGTGGTAGGGGACTTGTCGGCGTTCGTGCCTTGTGTCTCGTTTCCTTGAGGACCGGCGATTGCTCGATAGCCATACCATGCTTCAAGTCCACATTCCGCCAGGCAATGGAAGCCAGAGATGTAGTCGTCTCTGGCGTTAGAGGTGAAAACTGCCGTTCCCACTGCCGACTGGCTCGTTCTGCATCTTCGACTTTGGCCACCGCAACAGAGAGACTGGGGATGGCCGGTGGGCTCTCATTCTCCACGTCTCGATTTGTAAATGTGTTCGATCTTGTCAGAAATGGCGTCGTAATGTAGTTCCACCATCCCTTCGAACGGCGACGGGTGGTTAGAGTACTCATGCTTGCATGTCGGTCGAATCTCAAGCCGTTCGTCATTGAAGGGGCGCGACCTGCTCGCACGAGTATGGGACTCTCATCTTCTTCAAACACAGTGCACGAGGAAACAATTCGAGACTTTGGATGATCATCGTCGTCGCCCCACGAGGTCGCATCGTCTGAATCGGGTGAAAAATAGCTTCGCTGTGCAGCAGCTCGCTGTCCGTCAACCCCAGGAAACGAAGTAGGCATAGAAAGTACCAGAGGAGCCTCGGATGCCATACCCATGTTCGATAAGGGTTGATGATTTGGCAGTGATCCCGGATTTTCCAATGGAGTCCATATGGAAACCTCTTGAGCAGGCGTTATTATTATGGTAGGTGTATCAGGGGTTTGGCCCATTGAAGAATTGTGCTCATGTTTGCGAACCATCCTTGCGGCGTCAGATCCCGCCGTCAGAGGATCCAGCGTCCGATCCACAGCGTCGGCTGTGGGTATGGAAATCCCAATGACTATAGGTCGATCATTTGGAGACAGATCATCATCTGCTTTGGAGGGCGAGTGATGGATATCACGGGACGGTCGTCGGTTCACATCAACAGGATGTCTAAGCCGATCTTCATCTCGTGCGGCGGACGTGTTACGCGCCGAAAGCGACGGAACGGTGTTTGCTGTCCGGGCCAATTCTTTGTTCCTCTTTGTCTTCCAAAACCCGCCAGATTGCTGCTGGTTTCCCCCATTCAATGCCTGGAGGGCCGCCAGATCAACAAAGCATCCTGCCTGTGGCGGGTCTCGAGAAGATTGCACTTGTGGCTGAACTGGTGGTGGAGCAGCTTGAGGTCGCGAAAAGCTCGTGACGAGCTTGATCCCGGCTTTAGCGTTCTGTTTTCTCTGGCGGCCTTTCGACTTATGCCTTGTAGGCTTCTGGACAGAGTATCGCCAGTCTGCCTTTCGAGTGGTGGCCCGATGCTCGGGCTTGAAACTGACCCCTAGCCCTTGGACCTGTGGAGGTTTAGGCCAGACAGTACCCCCTATACATGTGGACCTGCGTAGAGTGGAACCATCACCATCATCTTCGTCCCACCACTCGTCATCGCCGTCAGAAACAGAGTTGGATGAGATACTGGCTCGTTTTGTTGAGTAGTTGTTCTGGGAAGCAGCTTGATCTCCCAAGACCGCCGTTGTAGACATCTTGGACAAAACTTGATACAGCGCAAGACCGCGAAGAGATCCAAGTATGGTGGTCGTTGCTGGTAAATGGGTTTAGGGTGGTCCGAGTGAGGTTCGGAAGAAGGGTCGCACTTGAAAGATTAGAATTAGGTGTAGTTGTTTGTCTGCGAGGAAGGAGGGCTTTCGAGCATGCGAGGTTTTAAATGAGATGCCCAGCAAGCATTGTCGTGTGCAACAAAGGACATGGAAATAAGACGGCTAGTGCGGAGGGATGCAGTGACGGGGCTTGAGAGTGTGATTTTCGTTCATGTGTTTTGGTTGGACAATAGGAAGAGCTTCCTATTGATGACTCGGAAGGGCTGCGCAAAATGAGGCAGGAAACAAAAAACACAGGTAAAGACGGTGACTGAATGAAGCAAACGAATGAGAATGAATCAGAACGAGAAAGTGCTGGTTCGGAACAGCAACCCAAGATCGTAGTCATACACGAGGAGGGAGGTGAGGGAAGGGAAGGGAAGGGAATGCCCCAAGGACTCATGGAGACAAGCCATCATTTGGGCCCTGGGTGTGGAGGACAGCAGTGGGGTTGACTTGCTTCCATTTCCATCCAAAATAAGTCCAGGTCGATGATTCGACAGCAGTCGCAGCTCGAGATATGAGACAGTGTACGATAGTCAGCTGGCTTCATGGTTCGTTGGGCGAGGCGACGTCGCGATACGCGCCGCCGCTCAAATGGGAAGCCATGAGATTCGCGGGCGCTTGGATGTCGCCGGCCAATCATCACCAACAGGACAGGACAGGACAGGACAGGACAGGACAGGACAGGACGGGACAGTCAACTGCTGAAGCTGGAGGTTTGGTTAGGTGTGGGATACCATGACAGGAGAGCAAGCAGATCTGTGTATCTCATCTTTTTTCTTTGGAGGTTGGGGAAGTCAGTTCGGTGGAGTGCACCTCGAGACATTGGGCGAGGTGAGGTGAGGTGAGGTGAGGTGAGGTGAGGTGAGGTGAGGGACTTAGGGAACGTTGGATGAGGTTGAGATCGGGCGGCTGCAGCTAGTGCTTCACGGAAAGGAATGGACTGGCCTGCACCGACACTACTCCCCAAATTTCGGAGTGTTCCATACCTAGATCTCAACAGGGTCGAGTGCCAATTGCCCAGTGCCTGGAGACAATACGAGACGAGTCAGGCTGTCAGGCTGTCAGGCTGTCAGGGTACCTTAGGTCCTGGTATGCGACAGGGGTCGTCGTCCAGAGATATGTAAATTACAGTACACTTTTGAGCCCAGAGGAAGTGATCAAAAACACTACCTCCCTACCTTACCTAGGGAGGCAGCTGACCGGCACATTATTGCGTGGCAGCTTACCGCGGGAGCCAAATTGCTTGCTGCGATCAACCTACCTACTTACACAAGGAAGGGTATATATTTGATCGTCTTTCCCATTGTGGTATGTGTATGTTCATCTATTCATGGATCGGTACAAAGCCTTCCTAAGTATAAAAGCATCGGTTTTGGGACACCTCCGAGTCTTGAATCACAATCCTGAATTTACCTTGTCTACTGGGTACTGTGCATACTAGGATAACAAGGTAAACATCTCGGTGTCTGGGCCATGACCAATGTAACACCTGCAGGAAGTTCACAATGCACTCCTGAGCCGCTAGGATAAAAAACATAAGGTAAAGAAAGTCTTGGGCAATGTGCGGCCTCTGCCGGGTCCATCTTGGAAATTAACTGCGTAGAAATTAGATTTCGCTTAGGGGCAAGAGGGAGGGACTGACTAGGAGGTAATTACCTCAACTCTCTGGTCTGCACTGTACAGGACAGGTCTCTCAGAAAACACCGTCTCCTTTTCCTTTGCACATATTCTATCCCGGCTGCTTGCTCGCCACGGATATCAGCAGCTCTTAGGTAGGTTCCCTTCCGAAGTCGTTGTGTCTGTGGGCGGACTAAAAGTAGGTACCTAGGAATTGTACTGTACTACAGCCCGAGAAGAGACGAAACGAGACGAGCAAGCCAAGCCCAATCAGAGGCGCCGCGCCGCCCGTATCTTCTGCTCGAAAGCCAGAAAGCCAGCCTCCTCCAACGTCCAGCCACCTACACCTGCACCGCCAGTCACCACCACAACTTCCACGGACTTCCCAAGGTCAGGTCGCCGTGAGAACTGCGAAAGAGGCGCCCCGACCCACCATCACCTCGGATACATTGACAGAACAGAACACGACCCAGGCAGTGGCAGTGGCAGAGGCAGAGAATCAAGTGAAAAAGGACCTGGCGCTGCAAATACAGCATCCCGCCCCCCCTTTGTCAATCGTCAAAACGCCAGACGGCCTTCAGTGCCTTCTGGATCCCAACCTTCGACCTGGCGTCTCTAAACCCTTCCGGAGCTTTCTCTTCTTCTATAGGTAACTCCTTTACCCATCACCGGCGACGGTCTTCAGCATCTGCATCGAACACCCCACAGGGGTTGAATATCCACGCTGCGTCCGGCGCGCAAACCCTCGAGACAATTCCTGGGACCCCGAACATTCCCATGTCCCTATCGCGCAGTCCATCTCCCAGACCTGGGGGTGGCTGGTCAAGTCCAGGCCTTGCGAACATCAGCGGCCGATCTAGTCCTGCGAAATCCTACCGAGGTGCCAATGGAGCAACCAGTTCAGTCACCTGGGAATCCGCAAAGGCTAAGAGTGAGGGGGTCAACGGCTACCCATCCTTTTCGACTCAGAACAATGGATTCTTCAATAGACACTACCGGAACATCTCGAACAGTCTGCCCAGTTTCAATTTGGGGTCAGAGAGCAGCTATGCGGAAAAGGAGAAACTTGGCCGTGGCCGGTGGATGCCGAGAGATGGGAGTAAATTGGCCAGAGTAAGGAGTCTCGTACGACATACGAACCGCAAGGTGAAATTACGGCTCCTCATGGTTCTGGGAATGATAGTCATGATCATGCTGTTCTATACAACCCGTAGGCCATCTCCGATGAAGCCCGAGACTTGAGTACTGACCCAATGCAGCGTTACACTACTACTGGCGGAGAGCGAAATTCCTCGGCGGCGGGAAAAAGCATGTCATAATACTGGCAGCGAACCAAGGTGGTGGAGTCATGGAATGGAAGGGCCCAAGAGAATGGGCCATTGAACGCGACAGCGTACGAAACAAGAAGAAGTACGCCAACAAGTGGGGGTACGATTTAGAGATTGTTGATATGAGCACCAAGAAACGATACGCACATGAGTGGAGAGAGAGCTGGGAGAAGGTTGACACGATACGAAATTGCTTGAGGAAATATCCAGATGCTGAGTGGTAAGATCCACATCCCTACCGTGCGTCGAAACGAGATTGACTCCCCTAGGTTCTGGTGGATGGATCTCAACACCTTCATTATGGAGCCGACATATTCTCTTCAATCGCATATTTTCAGGAATCTTCCTGCGAATACGTACCGAGACATCAACGAGTACAACCCCCTGAACATCACACATCCATTCCCAGCAGCGCACCTGGATGAGGATGCCCGCAGTCCTGTTGGAGACGGCAAAGCCAGCTCCATCAATCTAATTGTCCCACAAGACTGCTCAGGCTTCAATCTGGGATCGTTCTTCATCAGGAGAAGCGCATGGACAGATCGCCTGCTAGATGTCTGGTGGGATCCTGTTGGCTACGAGCAGAAGCACATGGAATGGGAGCACAAGGAACAAGATGCGCTCGAGTTCCTGTACATCAACCAGCCCTGGATTCGGCCACATACAGCTTTCATTCCCCAGCGGAAGATCAACAGCTTCCCCCAGGGCGCCTGTTCCGAGAATGGCAACGACACGCGGATTCACTACAACGAGAAGGAGCGCGACTTTGTCGTCAATATGGCTGGGTGCGAGTGGGGCAGGGACTGCTGGGGCGAGATGTACAATTTCCGGGAGCTGAGCAACTATCTAAACCGCACCCTTTGGGAGAGGTTCAAGGAGGACTTGGTCGCGGTTATCTGGTTCAAAATCACGGGGAAGAAGGTCAGACTGTGAGCTAGGTTCTGCAAAGTCTTTGATGTGTGGAGTGCTTATATCCGCGATACCAACATTACCTGCGATTCTTCAAAGTCATTTTGCGTGCGTATCTTTTGAAATTGCATTGCGTAGACGGCATGGCTACCCTTATTCTTTGGGCAGAGTTCTACTTGTTTTTATAGCTAGTCTTGCATGGCACAGGAGTTGAGACGGTAATGTGTACCAAATATGATGTCAATGTCAAATTTCCCTCCAGCTGTACATTTTACAATCTCGACGGGGCAATTTTCGGCATGATGTGGCGGACATGCCCTGCTTTTGATGATTTCACATCTAGACCACTCGATTTTGCCCACTCTTCCTAGTGTCTCAGACTCTGATACAATCCTTGCAACCTCAATCGCAAATTCATCCCCCATTGACTTGTGGCATGTTCAGTCGAGATCATCATTGTGTCACGTGGTGCCGAGGGTGCACAGCACCCTCCCGATCTTCCTCCACATAAGGTGATAAGCAAGTAGGGATGAGAATCTGATGATGATTGCGCAAGAGCCTGTTGGCATCATAGATTGTGAGAGGCTAGTCTTAACGTAGAGGACTGCCCTTAGGAGAAGGATGAGACCAAGGGGGAGTATGTTGCGTCTGGGCCATGAGCATGCAGGGATTATTACCAGAGGTGCTTGAGATAACTTTGGTACGGAAGGAGTCCTAAGAATTCATCCAGTGACCCCATCAAACTAGAGCTGGTAGGCGGTGCAAACCTTGGGACTGGTAGGAAGCGAGTGGAATGGACATCATGTCCTCCCATCTTGGCTAGGTACTCATCGCAGGACTTCGCACAAGCGAAGAACACTTCGGTCCAGGCAAAATTACGTCGCTCCCAGGCAATTGTGGCTCGTCTTGAAGTAGGCCGCAGTTACGGCAACGGTGAACTTGCAGAGTTACAGCATTGTAGTTCTGGGTAATCTCGATTTCCTCGCCAAGGAGAAGACCACATGTATTGTCCCTCGAAGGATATTTAGATCTCATGCCTAGGAGACGGTGCCCGTGATCTTGGATGGCAGCTTTCATTGAAATCCTGCTTGCTGCTGCTTCTCTACCTTGGTCGCAAGGTTTCCTTAGAGGCTGCCGCGAAGTCCGTACGGAAAGGGCAGGTAGTAGAGGTAGACTAGCTCTACGAGGAAGAGTTGAAAGAGAAGAGTGGAACGTGGGAAAATTATGACAGATCTACAGCTTCCTTTTCTTACAGCAAATGAGAGGGTTTTAACACTATTTATGCTCTCCCAGAACGCTGCCAATAGTGAGTGACTGGATCAGAAGCTTTATCGCCACCCGCGCCGGCACAATAGAAGACGAACTGCTTTCCCTCGCCTCTGCCTCAGGTGAACAAGGTGATGGCTGAGGCGAAGGCGGAAAGTGACCAATTTCAACCTTGTTGACAAGACTCGGCTTATGAATAGAGGCAACAGAGGACATATTTGCCATCTTGAAATAAGTGGAGATAGCTTTAACGAGAAGAAGTAGATACACGGCTCACCGCTTGTATATCCTCAAGTGTGCAGCGACCTGTGTAGGTATTGGTGATTGCAAGTCAAAGCGCCCAAGAACGAGCCTAGGCAGTATTCAACTCCCTCCTATATCGACATCATGTCGAAGCTGTCATGTGAGGTATAGAGTATACGTTGAGCCCTTGAGGGCTAGCTCGTTTGTCTTGTCTGATTTATGGGCAAAAGGTCTGGAAGATCAAGCCGGCTTAATGTCAAGCTATGCTGAGTCATCCGAGGCGAGCAAACATTATTGGTGGACTTCCATCTTAAGTTATGGATGATATGATCACTGCTAGCCGCTCGTTTCTTTCGAAAGACGGGATTTGAAACATTGAGATCCACTACTGCATGCCCGTTTCGGAGGCTGGCCCAGCATTGAAATGAATGCTACAAACCCCCTCCTGCCAGAGCAATCGTGTTTCTGTTTCGATATCGATATTACAGGCCCCCTTTTGGCTCGTCCGCTTGGTGTTTGCTGTCTGTGACTTTGCATTTGCAGCCACTCATCCAGTCTAGGCGATGAAACTCTAGACAGAGCTTCCTTGACGTGCAGTCTTGGAGGAGCGTACCACCGCCAGTCATAAGCTACCTAAGTATGCGCGAGATAACCACGCGAGTCTGTCCTTCTTGGAACCTCTGCGTGGGTTTGGTGCTTGCGTCCATTTCCCCTGTCTGAGCTTGGTGGTGACTTTGGCTGTTGCTCAAAAGAAACCCTTCTAGGCAGCTCCTTGACTCCGCTCCCCGTCCAACTTGCCATTTACATCTTATTGTCTATCTCTCAAATTCTAGTTCTGTTGCTATTTGGGTGGCTCGACTTTGCTCTTTTTTCATTCCTTGTACAATTGCTGCCTTTGCTGCTTCTATTGTCGCTTCGACCAAAATAAGTATTTGTCGTCTACAATAACTACAGCGACGATAGGAGGGAGTTATTATCGTCAACGAGCGACTCGTGCAGTTATATGTGGCTCTACATATAGGCTCCAGATCCTTCTATTTTCGGGTCAAGTTCTTGAATTGTCGCATTTGTACCAAGAGCAAGCTCAACGGCTCCTGTAACACGAAAATCCCCCAGCAAGGCAACCATCTTCGCAGGACAAAGATGCACGCTGCAAAATCTCTCCTGTGCCTCGGCCTCACCTTTCTCTGCGCAGCTACCATTGCGAACGCTGTTTACGTTATCGAAGACACCTACGACACTAAAAACTTCTTTTCAGAGTTCGATTTCTTCGTCGACCAAGATCCAACAGAGGGCTTTGTGAAGTACTCCAGCGCTGAAACTGCCAATACTAGCAGCTTAGCTGGATACGTCAACGATGCAGTCTTCTTGGGCGTTGACTACACCACTGCCAACCCACCTTCAGGCCGCAAGTCAGTCCGTGTTAGCTCGAAGAAAGCCTACACACATGGACTTATCATGGCGGATATTGCCCACATGCCAGATTCGACTTGTGGGAACTGGCCGGCATTTTGGACAGTAGGAGCTGACTGGCCCACCAACGGAGAAATTGACATTTTGGAGGGTGTCAACGATGATACGACCAACCACATCACCCTCCATACCTCACCAGGTTGCATGCTCAATAGTTCTGGAGCATTGTCCAGCTCGTCTCTTAGTACGTCGGACTGCAATGCCGGAAATGCTGGAGAGGGCTGCTCCATATCGACAACCAACAACCAAAACTACGGAACTGGTTTCAACGCTATTGGCGGTGGAGTTTATGCTATGGAATGGACGTCCTCGGCAATCAAAGTGTTCTTCTTCGCACGCGGTGCTATCCCAGCCGACATCATATCAGGAAGTCCTGACCCAACGACCTGGGGAACCCCCGTTGGATCCTTCAGCGGGACCGGATGCTTGATCGACTCGCACTTCAAGGACCATAAGATAGTGATAAACAACACCTTTTGTGGCGCCTGGGCAGGTCAAGTGTGGAACCGAAGTTCCTGCAGTCGAGTTGCGCCTACCTGCGAGGCTTATGTTGCAGCACATCCGAAGGCTTTCGCTCAGGCATACTGGCTGGTAAACTCTGTGAAGGTGTACCGACAAGATATGGCAGCTGTGAAGAGAGGGATACCATTGAGGTATTGAGGAATGATTCGAGGATGTACACTTTCGCTTCTTGGTAAACATACACGCGAGCTGGATCAGTTCCCAGATGTGGAGAACTTTGTTCGGAGATATGGACAGGGAGCTCTGGATATGGATGTCATTATCCGACGAAGATGGGATCTCCCAGAAGACTGTTAAACAGATAGAAACACGAAAATGAAAATAGGCCTTTGTGCACAACCTGATTGGCCTCACATTGTACAAGGTAATTTTTGAGACCACGTGACCACGGCAGATGACAGCTTTCTTTACTTATACGTTAAGCACCCCAATACTACTAAAATTTACTGTTTCTCCCGACATTTCTTTGTTAATTTAGTAGCCCCTTCCAGCATTTGTAGAGCTAACGAAGGAGGTTATATATATTAGATGTGGTGCTCCTTGCATCGGTCCTTCGTCGTCGTGATAAACCCCTGTCAAGTTTGGCGATCAAGCTCGGAACCTCGTCAAGTCCCGAGCATACCAAGGCTTGATTATTTCTTCCCAGCAACAACCCACGTCCGCTTGCAACAGACCTCTTCCTCTGTAGAGACGCTTGCGCCCCCCTGCCAGTCAACAACACCGGCTGCAGTCATGCATCCATCACGTATGGCATATGTGGAGGAGGCAGAACCAGAGGTAAGCCAAACCCATCTATTATTCTCCTCCCACAAGCTCTGCAATGGTATTTATATGATCCCAGAGGTCTCTCCATGCTCGTACATAGGAAACCTGCAGCTGATGGATCTGGTGTAACTTTCAGGACACCGGAATTGACCTGGCTAACGTTCGTAAGTTTCATACACCCCGCCACCTTTCTCTCTCCATCAGGGTACTAAGTATACCTTAACAGCTCTCGACAATGACTATGATATGCCCTCAGCAGGCCCAGGCCTTGCTCCCGAACGAGCGTCAGCCTTCCAGTCTCAAATGGATCGGAGAAAAAAGGCGGCTGCTATCGCTGTACCCACAGATGACAAAAGGGTTCGAGAGCGCTTACGGCAGTTGGGTGAACCGGTCACGGAGTTTGGGGAGGGACCTGGAGACCGCAGAGACCGCTTGAGAGAGCTTCTTGCAGACCTGGCTAGGGATGATGTGGGACAAGCTGAAGATGGAGATGCGAAGATGCTTGACGCTGGCGAGGGAGACGACGACGCGCCAGATGAGGAATTCTATACCAAGGGGCTACCAGAACTTGTAGAGGCAAGAAGGGCCATTGCGAAGTACTCCTTACCAAGAGCGAAGAGTAGGCTGGCTAGTCAGAAATCAGAGTCAACCATTCCACTGAGGACGCACGTCAAATTTAGGAAGGAGATCAAGGCGAAGCTGGAAGGGTTCGAGCTTCAGGGCAGTCAAACGGCAGGAGATAGACCTGTGAGCATGACCCGATTTGCGCCGAATGGGGAGATAATTGCTGCTGGAAACTGGGGAGGTGGAATCAAACTGCTCAGTGTTCCGGACCTGAAGGAAATACGCACCTTGCGCGGACACACGGATCGGATTGGGGGCGTTTCTTGGTTTCCAGATGCTACTTTACCAGGTACAACCGTGTCGGAGCATTCTGTCAACCTAGCGTCAGGCGGTGCAGAGGGCAAAGTTCATCTTTGGTCAATGGCGCAAGATACCCCGATCTCGACACTCGAAGGCCATAACCAGCGTGTGTGTCGAGTCGAGTTCCACCCTTCCGGAAATTACATTGCTTCGGCATCTGAGGACACAACCTGGCGGCTCTGGGACGTTGAAACGTCAACAGAACTTCTCCTGCAGGAAGGTCATTCTAGAGGAGTCTTTGCCCTGGCTTTTAATACTGATGGCTCTCTCTTGGCCAGTGCTGGTACGGATAGTATCGGCCGCATCTGGGATTTACGAACAGGGCGCACGGTTATGATTCTTGAAGGTCACATCAAGCCGATCTACGCATTGGACTGGGGTGTTGATGGCCACCGTGTACTTTCCGGTTCTGAAGATGGCTGGATCAAATGTTGGGATGTACGAAAGGTCCAACCATCTGGTGGGATCGGCGCACACAGGATGGTTTCGGATTTGAGGTGGTACAAAGGACTGGATGATCCGGCTCGAGGCCTGTTCCCTGAGCTTGATGAACAAGGAGCTCGAAGACCCAAAAAAGCGGGCACTTTCTTCGTGTCCAGTGGATTCGACAAGACTGTGAAGATTTTTTCGGCAGATGACTGGTCTCAAGTTCAGAGCTTGACAGGCCACACTGGAAATGTCCATAGTGTGGATGTCACTAAGGATGCGAGATGGATCGTCAGTGGTGGGTATGACAGGACAGTCAAGCTTTGGGGACGGAATGACGGCCAGGGACTTTGACCTTGCTGGAATCTCTGGTCAGATAGACACGACGAGATTTCTCTGTATAATAGCGAAAAGAAAACGATACCCCATGATTTATTCATTGCCGCTTGCCTTTCCGTAGCAAACTGCGGGTCTGAGTGTATCCAGTTCCTTGTTGGCCAGGTTGTGTGTCAGAGGTAGATGGCAGTCTAGAGAATGGAGATGGGGAGTTAGAGGTGCATGCACCTCGCGTACCCTTGACATCTTTCGTCGGTTGAGGTGCTCGTTGACTTGTGTACAACAATAACAGCGAGCTTGCTCCAGGAGTCTCCTAGGTCATAGCGCCACACCCCGATTTCTGCCTAACGTTTTGAACCCACGATACACATTCGTGCATTGTTGTCCCCAGCCGTAGATGCCAGCTTAGATTCATCCGCATCAGATTGATGTCCCAACAACATCCGCCGATATATCCTAGGCATGCATCACAAGCAGCTGGGCATAAGGATCTAACCTATCCCTCCTAGTCTGGACATTTATGTGCCCAACACGACCCCGAAAAGGAGTACACTTCGTCACTGATGCTTGCATTGTAATAGAAATGAGTTTAGAAAGGATTGCTTGGTTCGTGTTAACACTCCGAAAGAGATTCTAGGGATGCTAGACAGGTAGGCAGCCCGGGAGAGGGGGTCGATACTGGCAACTTCCTGGGTAAAAGTATCACCTCAACATTTTCATCTCTCAAGGCCGGGTCTACGCAGACAAAAGCTGTAGGGTTCTCAGTAAGAGTTCGAGTACCTCACAAACATACTATCAGATGTGAAGCGCAGCGTCAGAGCCGTTCAACGACTCAATGGCGGCTACCAGCGCACCTCCCACGACCTGAGGGCGGAGCTGGCGTGAAGCGGTGCCGTAGGAAATCGAGTTCGTGTCTCTCTGTTCCTGCGGAAAATAAATTTACTCGTACCAGCCAACCCGTATCTACGAAACGGAACACCGGGAGCTTTAGTCTCGCACGTTTTCGGGGCATTGTCAGGGAAGAGCCCAGGTAAGCCCAGGCAAACATGGAGGGTTCCAAGGCATTAAGAGTGAACCATTTGCTCTTTGAGATCCCCGTAAAGGGTATATTTGTGGTGCTTTTAGCTTCAACAGGTCCAACGTGTTGTTCATACAGAGCCTCCTGAATACTGGCAGCTGTGGAAGAGCTATTGGGGGCAACAAACAAGGTCGAGACTGGTGTGCAGTAAAGGAGGACCACCATCGTAAGCTGTAGCGGTCTAGAAAATGAGACACAGCAGTTTGCGTCCGTTGTCAGATTGACTGCCAGTCAATCATCCCGCTCGGTTCGCACTCCTTTGTTGTGATAATAATGCAATGGTATCCCTGCACCCGGTATAATTTGGACACCGTATCGGATATCAGAGCGAGGGCGGGGATAGCTCCGGAGAATGGCGAAGATTCTCGATGCCTAATGCGTCTTTATGGTGCTGCAAACCCTTCCTAATGCAGGAAACGAACGGTCTGTCAGAGACCGAGGTGGAGGCTCTGTCCTGAGGAAGCAGTCTCTCGGATACTGAACCCTGAGACACCGCGTTCGACGCAAGCTCCAGCAAAGGGGCGATGTTATTCATCTGTTATGGAAATATCAAATGTGAAAGCGAGATAGCAGTCAGCAACTGGTACTTAAGAGAGGGGAATCCGGCCGGCACTTCGGGACAGAAACCGAAGCTTATCTTGGTCAGAGTGAAGGCAACGAGTACATACGCCCAACTACCGATTTGAAAGCAGCTCGCAGACAAGATCAAAGGGTCCTCGTATGAGAAGGGAAAATACGGAGCAGAGGGCGGATGTTGAAAATGGGTATATGGACGCAACTCGGCAGCAAGCCAGAAGAGCGTCTTTCTCAGAAGCAGAGCCGAACACAGAAGCAGCCAACCAGCCCGTCACGGCTAAACTTCCAAGGGAGTCACCACATGCTCTCGGTGAGCTTTAGTGATTGGTATCGGACGGAAAGCCAAGGGATTCGATCGCTATTGCAGAGCCTTGCCTTGCAGCATTTTGATGTCAGGTTTCTGGCAAAAGTTGTGGATCTGGTTTCCTAGAACATGGTCTTGCATTCGAAACAGAATGTTGTGCAGAAACGATCCCCTCATACCCCTGCATGGAGCAGAAGCAGCATGTGAAAATAGCAGATGCAATTGGCATGACCCATAATGAAATCGCCAAAAGGGATGCACGCATATGTCGTGTCGTGGGTGCCGCCAGAAGCGGAGCCGCTCGGCTTGTGCTTCGGGATAATAATAGGTAAGGTAAGGTGGTAAATGTGCGCTATCATGTCCCCTGCTGCCGATGAGAGGAGCCATGCCCACGTCTCCGACTTCCAGCGTGCGCTTCTCTTTGGGTAAATTACAGATAAGGTAAAAGACAAAAGGCAAAAGGCTGGTCATTCAGAGTAGGCGGGTGAGGAGGGTCAGCGAACAGCAGCTCGCTGAGGATGAGGAAGCGAGACGACCCCTCCCCTCCCCTCCCTTTCCTCCTGCCGGCCTGTTCAAGTAAGCTCGATCTGATCTGTCGCTATTTTGCTCATTTTCGCCGCAAAGATAACACGGCGGGGACTGGGAGAACATGGTGAGCTCCCTGGTTGCTGGACTCCCAAGGTCGCTGCCCCGGCTTCGTTTCAGGGACTCGAATCCAATGCAGTCTCGTGCTCGTGTGCAACCAGGCTCTTGCTAGCGACGTGGAAGGAAGAGTAGCGACACAGGATCGAGAGACATGAACAGTAGTAGCACCTAAGGTATCTCGATGGCAGGAGCAGGAGCAGGGGTAGGACCGTCAGGCTTGCCATTTCAAAAAAGGTGATTTTCGTAGCAGCGTCGCGTTGCATGTTCTCACTACGTCCAATGGGGGAATAGATATCCAGAAAGTCCGATAGATGCGTCGTCGCATCTTCAGACCAAACGATGCAGTTTGCCAGCAGCGGGCGCTCACGGGTCTCGGCAATCGAGGAGCGATAGTCTAGGTCCAGGTCCAGAACGAAGCAGACCCAGGACACTCGAGATATGTTTTACCACGAAAGGTGGTCCTGGTTTGGCCAAGGCGGCGGAAGAGGACAGAGGGCGAATGTCTGCCCTTCCATTGGTCTGTTGATCATGCAAGGAAGAGAAGAGGGTGTGGTGGTGGCAAGCTTGCCATGCCGCCAAGATGCGAACGTCAATAACCGTTGAGAAGTTACTGTACTGTACTGCAATTCGACGATAAGAACGTGGTTATAGCGACCCTTCCACGGACGATCAGGGCAGCGAGCTCTGACTCCCATTTCTAGGATTCGGGATCGGCTGAGGGTAAAGACGCGGTTGTCCCCTGCTCGGGACCGGCTCACTGCTCATCCCTCACTAGATGAGAACTTCGCCTATGATATATATCATATGGATTTCGTGGCGTCTGGTCAAGAATGCTACCCTCCACGAAAATCCTTAAATTCACCTCAAGTGGCTTGCCAGTTGCCAGTTGCGTGTACGGTTGAGCTCGCCTGTTTTCCTTCGTCCTCTCCATCGAATCATGTATCTACCTACTCATGCAGTGAGGCCGCACCTCCCTTGGACATAACCAAGAATCATGATCGCGCTTCCCGCCGCGTTACTGTGGCTGTGACGAAATGGGAACTAGCCAATGGAGCTCATGAAATTTTCTTGTAGAGAAGTAGGTAGCCCTCCGGATGATTTCGTAACTTTGACTCGTGGACACCGTGGTATGGATGTTGACCGTGCTTCGACTGCTTCGAGACCCGGGAGAAGATATCTTGTGCCTTGGAATGGTGGTCTGTCCGAGACTTGGGTATGGGGGGACTCATACAACATTGTGAGGGCTCTAGGGATTACAGCCTGATGCTTCAACGCATCCTTACTAACACACCGATCAAACCGTAAATGTCGCCCAGAGTATGCCTTGTCTGCTTGTCTGCCAAAGACCTACGATCATGCGGGATCCGACAAAACTAGAGTTTCCATTGATCCATTCACGTCGCCAAAGATTTGCTTTTGTTGACATCCAGGGTAGGTAGACCGTACAGTCGCTGGGGCACCCGCAGTATCCGACATGCACGACACCTCTCGAGATCCACTATCGAGCACATCTTCAATGATCTTGTAGGGAGAGATGCAGATCTGCATTCAAGGTCGTAGACAGGCCTCTCTAGAAAAGATTGAAATTATTATTCGCTTTTTGGCGGCTGTGAACATCCCGAGGCTTCTTGCGGGTGGAGGTGGGATTGGTCAAGCTCCTGAGAATCCTGATAATCCCACGTTTCCAATGGATGCAGTGCTGGCTTTGCAATTACAAGGCTTGGAACTTCCCTTTACTAGTGCCTACAGTCGTGCCTTGGAGAGCGTGGGTCTCCGTACATTCGTAAGAGTGCCTCTGTCTCTGCATTTAGTAGACATTTGGCACTCAGGCGTATCTTTCTAGCCACGGTCGGCAGAATTGGCTACACAAAATTACTGCTGTACTATCAAAAGTAGATGCAGCTCCGTTTATGCCAGCTTCAAAGACCTGCTCGCGCTCCAGAACATTCTGGCTAAGGCTGAGTTGCAGCCTCGAGGTTTGTGGACGGTCATATTGGTGGTCGAAAGACGACTCCACGACGCCTTAGTCAAAGTGCCCTGGCCCAAGAACTATCTTTGGAGTCCAGACAATAGTGCGATTGGTAAACCTTAGTCCCACTATTATAGTGGCAAACAGTACTGGGAGGTAGCACTATAAAAGAAGGAGGCAGGGCTGGAAGGTTACATAATGCAAATGCGAACAAATTTCCAGGTGAACAGAGTCTGATATCAAGAAAACAACCCTGAAGGCGTGCCGATCTCCCGCGTGTAAGCTAAGTTTTACACCCATGAGCAGTTCCGATCCATTTTCGGAACTAATGTGGACAGTTCCATTTAGTCGTAAGCTAAACCCATTACTCCGTGTAGAGGTCCCACTGTCAAGGCCCCGAGTTTCCCACAGCAAGAACAAGTCCTCGAAGGTTGACAGCGCAATGTAAACAGAGACCAAGGCAACGTGCTGACAGGAACGACGACAACCGAGCATCAGGCGAGTTCGAGGATAAGCTGAGCCTGGAGGAAACCCTTGACGGAGACAATAGACACTTGGACTGTCTATGCGAGCCAAACAGGCGGTGACTCTACCGCCTATGTACAGGCCCAATGATTTCGCCATCCTGATGCTCGGCTCAGCGCGAATAATGAATACCCCGAGTTTAAAAGGTTATCAGCAATCAGGACAAATTCGTCATTCCTTGCCGTTTAAAACCTTGCCAGATACCTAGCTCGACTTGCTTGATTAGGCCAACCATGTCCAGGCGACGTAAAGCTGTTGACACTCAGCTGCAGTCTAGGCTGTCGCTAAGAAACAGGAAAAGGACATGACCACGAAAGCTGTGGCGTTAGCAAGATAGGTGAAGTTGAAATGTAACGAAACATCAGGACTTCCCGCCTCGGAGGCGAAGTGTGAGCCGTACGACGAAGCTGTTATTTAGTAAGAGCTTTGGGTGTGAGCCAAGTCGGACCGGACCAAACCCGTGACTTGGAACCAGGATGAGATTTTCTCTTTCGTTGAAAAGCTCGCAATTTTGCCCCTCACCTCACTTTAGCGATCTTACGAGATAAAATCGTCCGGGGCAACTATTGAGGACATCACATCATTAAGTTTGGATGTCGTCAACCCGCAGGCAATAGAGCCTGGATATCTTACCTGGGCCCCGATCACTGTCCCAGCTTTTTAGGAATCTGGCCTGGCTTGAGGGGAAATAAAAAAAGAAAGAGACGGGGCAAGGTGAAGTGCACCGGACCATGCCAGAATGATGATCTACCGGTACCCCCACCCCCACTGGACTGCCCAGCGTTGAGGCGTCGGTTCCATGATCTACTCTGAAGTGGCTTGAGAAGTTGAGACTTGAGAGGCAGGAGTACTCGAAGGGCGGGGCGGCGGTGGTCGTGCCAGAGTGGGGGGGCTTCTGGGGCGCGCTGTTCGATCTCCAAGGTTCTTAATGTAATGGAAGTCCTTCCCGGTGGCCTCCCTGTATTCTCATCCCAGTAGTCTTCTCCCTGGCAAGGTCCAGACATCCTCCCGCGCCCTCCCTGGCTACGGCTGCCCCTGCCCGGCTCTGACTCTCGCTCGGCCTGCGAGTCTAGACTCTGCACTTCAGACCGCTGGGGGCGGAATGATGATACAGTACGGCATTGCCAAGCCAGAACGGGGCCACCTGGCCTGCGAACTGTACTGGTCTTGCAGAGTGCTTCTGTAATAATAAGGCACTTGCAAAGTTTCACTGACCGTGAGAGTTTGGTGGACGGGGAAGAGGGACGAGCAGGAAGGAGAAGAAATAGATGGACAGGCAAGATTGCATTAAAGAAGAATTTGGACCTTCGAGGAGTAGGTACTCGTACCAACGGACAAGACGAGGAGATCGAAACAGGCACACAGAAAGTGGAATAGCCTGAGACGAAGTCCTTGCCTGGCTCGTCCATTAACTCCTCCCCGATTTATATTTGCGTCAACGCTGCGTACAGCAGCAGCAAGCTGCTTGGCCAGACGCCTTTTGCTTCTCTTCCCAAGTTTGCGGCGTCGCGTAAGTGCGGGTTGACATTTATGACGCTGGCTCTGATGGTATTCATCTCATTCGACAGCCCCAGGCCAGCTCATTCGACGCTGTAGCAAAGCTGGGGAAGGGAAGAGTAGGTAGGAATAGGAGCAGTGATGCGAGACGAAGCGTACCTAGGTAGGCAACATGAGCATCAGATTCGGTAAGCATCAGCAGTTGGGCTAAGTTGAGGGGATTCTGTTCTGCTTGACGCGCAGACAAACCTAACCTGCCCCAACGAGACATGTAATTCGCCCCGGGTATCATGGATCCGCTACACAAAAACGTTGCACGCACGTATGCCCCAACAACGTTTCCTATGATATCTCTCCGTTCAAATCAGCTGTCTTCGTCTCCAGATTTCTCCGCACTGGCGGTAGCACAACAGGGAGCTTGGGCGTCGCGTCGTCCAATAAATGAAACCTACTGCTGTTAAAAGATTGGCAGGCAGTGCACTTCTTCACTTACTAACTGTCATGCAACAATTGGAACAAAAGTGGAGGGAAAGTATACTGTATATGCGATGCTGTACCCGGCAATCAACAGGTTTGAGATCAAGCAAGAGGAAAGGCCTTGTTCGTGTTCAGTGCTGTATTTGCTGTAATGGTACTGAACTTGGTCGTCAATTCGCCGCCCTGTGCAAGTATGGGAGTCACATCTGGACGGACCTGAACAAATGCCGTAAGCTGGCGAGATCATCACAATGACATTTGGGGAGTATCAAGGGTTGAATCATAAATTTCACGTGGCCTCCTTCACCAATCTATCGCCGCCATCATTATTGCAGCTGTTTTCAGAACGGCGACGGCGAGTGACGCCCCTCTCGCAAGTGCGCCTAGATACCTAGGTAGGTAATGGCAGCGACTCGTTCTTACAATTCCCTCCCTCTCCCTCTTCGATTGTGGCGAGATTTATATTCCTCCCCCATGTGTCTCCCTCCCTCCCTCTTTCTTTCTTCGCTCTGTTGATCTCGATAACGTCCAGTGCAGCTAGCTGAAGCCAGTCCCGTCCAGTCCAACCAAACCAAACCACCAAGACGATGAAGTCAGGCTAGTATTTTAGGGTCTTCAGCGAGCCCAGCGCAGCGCAGCCCGTCTGTCTGCTCGGCCGCTCGCCTCGCTAACAGCTGGCTGTGACGCTGTCTAGCACGTAACCTGCCTACTGCGTACATTAGGGAGTAAGGTTCCTAACCTAGCCTGACCTAGCCTATCATGGCCTAGCCCAGCATAGCCTAACTTGACACTACAAGTACCCAGATGATAAGTACTACCTAGGTAGGTACATAGGTAGATACTGTAATACAGTAATGGTTTACCTCCCTGTGCACCCCCAAGGCCATCGCTTCCATTACTTCACTGCAGTTGCAGGGCAGCGTAAATTTACCTAGTGCAGCACTGCAGCGCACCCACCTCTGCCTTACCGACCTTAAACCCCCTGGGCACGCTTCCAAGGTTCTCTACTCCACTTTCTGCTCTCCACTCCTGCGCCCGCGCTGCGCTGCGCTGCACTGCACTGCACTGCACTGTACTGTAGTGTACTGTCCTGACTGCACCAAACCCAAACGCCTTCTTCGAAAGCCCAGTCCAGTCCAGTCCAGTCAAATCTTTCCTCTTGGTCGAGATCCCCATCCCATCCATCCACTACCCCCCCCGCCTCCACCCGCCGCCTTCTGTCACTGCACTGCACTGCACTGCACTTCACAGTTCACTTCACTTCACTTCACCACGTTCGCAGTTCCTCATCCAACGGACAGCCACAACTCTTCGATCTCACCCTCCTCCCTCTTGTTCTCCTTCTCCTGAGATCAGCAGTCACGCCGTGGCCTTTGGCATCCATCCAATCCAATTCCTCCCCGCCGATCTCGCCTCGGCTCAAACCCTTCATTCCAGACTCGCGCGCCTTGCATTGTCCCTCCCCTGCAGGCCCTTCCCCCGAGTCACAACTCACCTCTCTCAACCTCCAGCTCACGATCACGACCGACGCGTCTGTACATGTCGGCTTTGTCTTTATGGTAGAGCGAAAAGCACGAATTGATTGCTGGGAGGCCGTGTGTGGGAACTCTCGGATCTTCAGTAACGTCATTCTGTTTTAATAGGCCCATCCCACGAAGGACGAAGGAAAAATATTCTCTCTCTCGACCTTCTGGTCCAAGGACCTTAAAACCACGCTGCCACTCGCCCCGCCCCTTCCTTCCTTCCCTCCCTCACAACAATGGCCGTTGTGCTTAACTCGGAAGAGAACAGCTACTTCTCCTCGAGTCCCCTTCGACGATCCCATTCCCAGCCCAAGTTTGTGACACAGCCGGCCTACTCGAATACGCCGTCCAGATCAAAGAGCAATAGCAGCTTCAATACCGTGATTTCACCCTCCCAATCCGCCTCTTCGTCAGCCCCTTCGTCGCCACGAACTCTGACAGCCGATTCTGCCGCACACTCATACTCCTCGACTCCGGCAAGCAGCTTGTCACTCGACAATAACTGCGACGACCAGGACGACGAGGACCAGATTGTCTTCCCTTCCTACGACGACGTCGGATACTACGATCAAGTCGAAGACCTGGAACCACCGGCAAGCCCCCGCACAGGTGATTCTTACACCGTTTCACCTACCTCGAACAGCACATCGACAAATGTGTCGCGGCCAGAAACCCCGGAGCCCGTGGAACATGCTGAGGACGATACGGCAGTTCGAACGCAGCCATCGAGACATGTAGATTATCTATCGCACGATTGGAAAGAGGAGGACATCTGGTCGTCTTGGAAGCACATTGTGTCGAAGCGAAAAGCTTATGGGAACAGTGCTAGATTAGAAAACGCGTCGTGGCGAACGTGGACAAAGTCGAAGAACAAATTGAAGACAGTGTCTCCAGAAACGCTCAATTGGTAAGTCCTTGTGGTGCCGCCCGTCGCTTGGTCGTCTTGTGCTTTGGCTAACAAGGCTCAGGCTCAAGGATTGTGATGTTACTTGGCTATATGGCCCCCTCCAGACGGGATCAGACAAGACCTTACATCTACCCTCGACCTCTCCCGTGAGTAGCAGTCGAATATCTAAGTCCAATTCTTTCTTGCAGAAGAAGCCAATCTTGAAGAAGCGGAGTGTGTCAGAGATAATGCTTCAGAGGTCGTTATCATCATCGTCCCTTCTAAAACAAGCAGCAGCCGCCGTTCAGGCACAGCAGTATGAGAACGATGGAATGATGCGGCCGTCCATCGGCCGTAGAACTTCAGAATACGCCTATCCATTCTCTTCAAGACGCTTGAGTCGAGAGAACACTACTAGTATGCTGTCGTCCATCTCCTCGTCAGGCCTGGCTTCTCCGGGAACGGGAGAGAAGAAGCACATCCACTTCAATGAACAGGTCGAACAGTGCATAGCTCTAGATATGAAAGGAGATGACGATGAAGAGCCTGACTCCTTTGCAGTCCACGACTATGATAGCGATTCTGATGATGGCGCAATCATGATGAAGAGGAGTAATTCCAAACGTCGACTGCCTCCCCTTCACAGCAGAACGACTACCCCTCGACAGAGCTTCACGGCAGAGAGCAAGACGATCGCAATGCTCCCTTCGACGACACTGAAATATAGAGCAGATACACCCGAGCCTCCTGAAACTGCTATGAAGCATAGTAGTGGAGTATGGAACGGGACCAAATTGTCGCCTTCACCCTCCCAAGAAACCTTGAGACCGTCAAAGCCTTCGAGTAGGATGCTACTTGGGGAGGATGAAGAAGACGATGATATGGACTGGCAGCCCCCGACAGCCTTCGCCAATCGCAAGGATAGTGTCTCCGTTACCCAGGAACGATTCCAGAGCCTCCACACGTCCGGCTCTTCGTCCAGTCTGAACGGTGAACCCTCGGGAATGAGAAGGACGCCCTCTGGCATGTTCATGCCGTGCGAGGAGGATGAGGATGATGTGGTTTCTGAAGGCCTGTTTGGGAAAGTGGTGGACACTGTGAACACGGCCAAGGACATTGCTCATGTAATCTGGAATGTGGGATGGAGACGGTAGTCGTTATGAGGACTAGTCGGTATCTCTCCACGTACTTTACTGGAATTGGCTACAGCTTGTCGACAACAACACGGCGTTGACAAAACTCTGTCACATAATGATTACAAACGGACGGCGTACATAACGGTGGATATCAAGCATAATGCCACCAAACCAAAATCATAGGGGTACGGAGGCGGCCGGCGTTATTTGGGATTCTACTGTTCTAGTCGACTTTTTGGCTAGGACATGTTGTACTTTTGGAAATGGGCAGCTTATACGCGGTCAGGAGGCACTTGGAATATGGATCAATTGGGATTATTTGACCATTTGGTTATGGGTGGGCTCTCTGTCCGGGTGGAGGGCTCGACGATGTTCACGGCTGGCTGGCTTGCAGGAATAGATTTGGGTCTTCAGGGACAGTCCAGCGAAGAGACGGGATACGTCTTATCTGATCAGGGTATTGGCTATGGATGATACAACGCACATACATAGACCAAATGCACAACACGCACCTTTTCAAGATTATTGTGCTGTGAATCGACGCCAAACATTGCGATGAGACATCACTAAGCAGGTACAGGTATCACGACGTGTGACCTCTCACTTCTCAATTTTGTGGATCTCAAGCCTCAACAAGCTCCCTGAGACACCTCTCCATCTCCAGACCATTCCCCGCAAATCATGACTTGTTTCATTTTCTCCACAGTCTCCTCACATCACACAACAGGACAGCCGATCCTGTAATCAATTATGCACCTGTACCCGTTCCCTCCCCTCCCGCACACAGACATCCCCATGTTCCGTCGAGTACGTCCCGGTGCATATCAGTGGTGTTACGACGGAGCCGAGTCTCGGGATTTGGCTGCTTACTTGCATGCCGTATCATCTACTCTCCCTGCTGCCTCCTTGCTGAGGTCCTTTCTCAGTTGCTTCCACCACTCATTACTCCTTTGGTTCTCGTGCATGCAGAGATTTGCCGTGGTGACTTCTCCCTCCTCCTGTTGCTGAGTTGTAGGCTACCTGGATTTCGGATGTATGTTTTGCGCCAGCCCGAGGTTCTGCTCGGGCACGGGGTGTCCGGCTGGCCGAGTTGTCCCGGATATGGGACGGACTCGAGCTGCAGAAGCAGATACGGATGAGAGGGATGTGAGGCATTGCCGTGTGGTGTGGTTTCTGATGGTGGTGCTTGATGGCAAGGAGACACCTTTCGGTTGATGACTTGGCCAGATCATTTACCAGGGTCGAATGTTATGTCTTGCTTAATTACTACGAAAACTTGAAGCTACAATTCAGACAGCCTCAAAAGATCCACATATCTCCCAAGCCTCACCGCTGTTCACAGCGTAAGGTTTACTTCGGCTCGCGCTTCCGGACATACTTTCTTGGACCAAGATGCACGACTTCGTTTGAGGTAATTGGGTTTGGAGTTTTAAATTTTAGGTTTGAAGAGGCACGGGAGTGTTTGTATTTGACAAGGAACTACAGAACTGCAGTGTGGTGGTGTTCCGGTATGGCGTTAGCGGGCTCGCTGAACCTAGGAAGCATTCAATTTCTGCATCTTGGTCGGTGATTGGAGTGGCGTTGTCTGAACAAAACAGGACAATGAGTCTGGTCAGAAGTGAAGAACAACCTAGGATTATCATCTGGGAGAAATCCAGGCCCCATTCCTGAGCTGGCTCCTCGGAGAATCTACCAACATTCAGGAAGCAAGACCTCCACGTGAAAGAAGGATTTGAGCGATGCTGGGTAAGCTGCGCGCCCAGAAGATGGCTGGCAGCACGTTACTGGCGGGTTTGTATCGACTCTGATCTCCATGCTTGCATCTGTACAGTACAGTATGAGTGGACCGAGCTTTGAGTTCGGAGAATTTACTTGATTTAGAAATGCAGCTGGGAAAGCTAAAATGTCCTCGAGCTGCCCTCGATTTCGGTGGTGTGGAGAATGTGTTGTGCTACTATATGATTAGCTATGCCATGCTATGCAGCTGGAAGTGTTCCGTAGGGTCTGGACGGCAACGAAGAGGACCAGAATCAAGATCAAGATGGTCGAGTTGGGAATAGGGATAAAGATAGGGTTTGGGGTTGACGTTGAGGTCCGCGGGTGAGTTTTGACTGGAATGGACTGGACTGGACTTGACTTGACTCTGATGCCAATAAAATGGAATGGTTACCTTATTGCTCACTGCCCAGGGCAGGCGAGAGGGTGAGGCGGGTTGCGAAAGTGGAGAGAGGGGTGGCTGACGATAACCTTACCTAGGTAAATTACTTTAGCGGGGTGTACATTACTGTATTAACCTTACGCAGGGTAGTGTGGGTGTGGCCCTGTGGGTGTGAGACGAGGGGGACGGGGAAGCGGGGAGGGACTTCCTGTAACCGAAAGGACCCGGGCCCGGGATCGTGAGAGGAGGAGAGCCCGCGAGCGAGAGCTTGGGCTGAGAAGATAAAAGACGACAATGACAGGAGCCAGGATTGGGTAAGTACTGTAACGAGGCGGATCCAATTTATGTCCGGCGGGGCCGCACGGTTACTATAGTAGCATAGGGGAATAGGAAAATAATATCAAATTAACTACTATACATAACTAAAACTCAGTGATATTATTAGTATCGTACCGGTAAACAAATAATAAGTATATATTAATATATATTAAAATCAAAGGTTTAGTTTAAAGGTATTTAAAAGTATATATTATAAAGAGTATTTAAAGGTTAGAATATATACTACCTCTTAAATAGCTCCCGGTTTATATATAAAAGGAGTCTATTCTCTAACTAAGATTATTTATACTTTCTAATTCCTCTTATATTTCTATAGTAAAGGTCTACAGACTAATACTAGTAAAACTTCTTTTAGAAATAAAAGGTTTCTAATAATTATAAAAGAAATAAAAGAGAGAATATAGATATAATAAGAGGAACTAAAGATATAATAAAGTAATAAATATTTAACTTATATATATTAGTAGCTAGAATATCTTTAGTTGTTATCTAAAAGTACTTCTTTTATTATATAAGAATATAAATAAATTATAATCTATAACTAAATTATATCTTAGAATATAAAGAATATATATAAACTTATAGGGAGTTAAATAATATTATTATTAAGTTAATATAAGGTTCTAAGGAGTTAGAGAGTTAATATTCTATTTAGTAGTAATTAATAATACTAAAGTAGAAAATAATAATAGCTAAGTAATAATAGTAAATAATATTATATTATATCTGAATTAAGCTTGAATTATATATATCTATTTATATAAAGATAACTTCCCTTTTAAAACTTTTTCTTTTCTCTATTAAATAATAATAATAATAATAACTATAAGTTTAGAATTAATAGTATTTACTTTAGAGATTCTTATTAACTAAGAGATTTCTTTAAAAGATATTAAATAAATTAAGTAATTTAAGAGTAAATATATCTTATTCTAAGAGCTAATATAGTAGTAGAGCTTTTTACTAATACTAATTAGTACTAATTCCTTACTCTCTTAGTACTCTCCTAGCTATATTTTATATATAATACTATAGATATATTAATTACTAGAAGAAGAGTGATCTGAAACTATATAAATTCCAGAGTTCTATAAGCTTAAAATACTAGTATTATACTAAGAATAAAGATAAATATAAACTTATAAGTATCTCTTAATCTAAGTCTCTTTTATAACTCCTTTAATAATAATCTTTTATAACTAACAGAAGTAGATCCTAGTATATATAGCTACTAAGTATTATACTTTTACTAATACTTTTACTAGTAGAGTTATAGCTAAGCTCCTTAAAGCTAGTACCGCCCTTTAGAATATTATTACTATTACTAAGGCTAATATACTAAAAGATATATTATTAGTTATAGAAGTTATATTAATAGAGATTTATATTATATATAATAAGATAACTAGAATTATAAAATAGAATACTATAAGTATTTCCCTTTTCTTAATTAACTCTCTTACTTTCTTTTATTAGATATAATCTAATAGCTTATATTATAAGAGATACTTATAGTACTATAGAAGTTAGGAATTATATTAGAGAAATAGAAAGCTTTATTAGATAGTCTAAGTCTATTAAAGCGCTATATAAGGATAAGTACTTATAGTACTTCTAAAAGTAGTTTAAAAAAGAGTTTAAATAGTAGTCTTAGTAGTTCTAGTTCTAATAGTAGTTCTAATAATAAAAGTAGCTTAAGTACTTACTTTTCTAGCTTTATTATAATTAATTAGCCTTTTAAAGTAAGAGAAAGTAGTAATAGTACTTTAGTACTTAACTTAACTTCTCTACTTTCTTTTCTCTAAGGAGAGAGAGAAACTACTAATAGTAATCCTAGAGAGAATAGTATATAAAAGTAAAAGGTTTCTAGCTTTATTTTAAATTAGTTTTATAATTAGTTCTTTATAGTAGTATCTTCTTTATACTTTTATATAAAAGTAGCTTTTTATAATAAAACTAATAATTAGTCCTTATTAAAGTATTATTATAAAACTACTTATTAGCACTTTAAATTAAAGAGTAATTATCTTAAAATAAAAGTTATTCTTATTATAATATCTTACTTAATTATAAAGAAATAAATAAGTAATAAAAGAGAGTTATAAGGAAATTAATATAAGAAAAACAAGTAAATACGTTAGAATACTTCTATTATAAGTTTAAATTAACCTTATCTAATCTCTTTACTTATTCCTTTACTTTTACTATTAACTAGTTAGTATTAATAAACTCTTAAAGAGCTTTATTTAGACTAGCCTTTATTATAGTATTAGTAGAGTTACTTACTTTATTAATCTATCGTATCTCTATTAGTTCTTTATACTTATATAATTAATAAATTATTATAATATTAATTATTAAATACTTCTCTTTTATAATACTAAGTTTAATAATATATTTATAAAAAAATAGAGAATTAGTATAAAGTGTATAATAGGAAGCCTTAAGAGGCCTAGCTTATTAGTTATTATATTAACTATAGTCGCTAGAGATATTAATATATTAATACTTACTACTATAG